GAATAAGACAAGCGAAAATTTGTGTATGCAATAATTTCGGAAAAATCATTCTGAACCTAACGAAAAAAATATATTTCATTGTGTTTGTTTATTATTAAATTATTGTAAACTTATCTAAAATATATTAAGTTGAATTAGGCTAAATTGCGGTTATAATAAGGTCAGGTAAGTTTCCTAAGGTTCTTTTGGTACAAAATTATTAATTTTTACATTAACATAAATGAAAAAAAATATCCTTAAACGTATAAGAGAAAATATTAGAAAGTACCAAATTTTAAATGAGTTCCTGTTAATTGACCAATTTTACCTATTCGACACGACATGGTATACGTTACGCGACGTTCTCATTATATTAAATTGTCTAGGTATAAAAATATTTCTGCCAGGTGAACACCGGAAATATATGGGCAGAAATGTAATATTTATAATTGTGAAATTATAATTATCGGCTTGACTTAAAAAATCTATCTGGTGGCAAAACTCTCGCTTAACATGGTTAACGTCCGGGTTTGGTTCCCAGCGAGGGTTGAAACATTGGGCGTGTTTCCTTACACCGGTTGTCTATGTTCACCCATCAGTAAAATGGGTACCTGGGTGTTAGTGGACTGGTGTGGGTGGCATCCTGGGTGTTAGTGGACTGGTGTGGGTGGCATGCTGGGTGTTAGTGGACTGGTGTGGGTGGCATCCTGGGTGTTAGTGGACTGGTGTGGGTAGCATCCTGGGTGTTAGTGGACTGGTGTGGGGGACATCCTGGGTGTTAGTGGACTGGTGTGGGTGGCATCCTGGGTTTTAGTGGACTGGTGTGGGTGGCATCCTGGGTGTTAGTGAACTGGTGTGGGTGGCATCCTGGGTGTTAGTGGACTGGTGTGAGTGGCATCCTGGGTGTTAGTGGACTGGTGTGGGTGGCATCCTGGGTGTTAGTGGACTTGTGTGGGTGGCATCCTGGGTGTTACTGGACTGGTGTGGGTGGCATCCTGGGTGTTAGTGGACTGGTGTGGGTGACATCCTGGGTGTTAGTGGACTGGTGTGGGTGGCATCCTGGGTGTTAGTGGACTGGTGTGGGTGGCATCCTGGGACAAAACTGACATAATTTGCGGGAAATGCTCAGCATAACAAGCAACTTTCTATATAGTAGTATGTCACTGATGTCAGCTATGATCTGTATACCTTGTACATGTACTTGTATACCTTGTATATGTACTTGTATACCTTGTACATGTACTGGTATACCTTGTACATGTACTTGTATACCTTGTATATGTACTGGTATACCTTGTACATGTACTTGTATACCTTGTACATGTACTTGTATACCTTGTACATGTACTTGTATACCTTGTACATGTACTTGTATACCTTGTACATGTGCTGGTATACCTTGTACATGTACTGGTATACCTTGTACATATACTTGTATACCTTGTACATGTACTTGTATACCTTGTACATGTACTTGTATACCTTGTACATGTACTGGTATACCTTGTACATGTACTGGTATACCTTGTACATGTACTTGTATACCATGATCATGTACTGGTATACCTTGTACATATATTGGTTGTAAATAAAGATTATTATTATTATTATTATTACTATTATTATTATTATTATTATTATTATTATTATTATTATTATTATTATTATTATTATTATTATTATTAACATTACCCAGAGTCCACTTACTAACGGGGAGAGTGTACGGTGAAGACCACATACATTTCCCGTACAATATAAGAAAGTCTACGGGGTGCGCTACCCAGGTTTCACTTACAATGTTGGGAAAGTCTGCGGTGGCTGCTACCCGTGTTTCGTTTACTATTGGCGGAGCCTATGTTGAACTCTAATTATGTGACACATGACGTGATGAAGCTCTACGCAGAGTGAAACATAACTTGATAAAGCTCTACACTGAGTGAAACATAACTTGATAAAGCTCTACGCAG